TTGGAAGGTGGGGGCGGGGAAGGGGTGGAGTTGGGTGGGGCCGGGGGTGGGGAAGGGGCGGAGTTGGGGTGGGGCGGGGGCCCCTTGGAGTGTCCTCTTTTTTCAGTATTTAAATATGGTAACTCTACCTAGTATGACTTGCTTGCCCCTGCTGCTGGTTCCTGGCTGCTATCTCAGCAGAGAGGGAGCTACGTTGTATTAGGAGAACAGTACAGGAGTGAGCAGGAACTGGCAGGCATGTGGTTCAGAGTGGCTCCAGGAAGAGAGGCAGGACCAAAGGCTGTAGGCCTAGAGTAGGCGGGATCTCAGGCATTACAGAGTGAGGGGTGGGGATAAGATGGTGTGTTTTTTCATTCCCTTTGGGAATGGAGAAAGAACAGGAGTGGATAGGGGAATGCTGGGAGGACATCATCTTCGGGTCTTATAGGGGTAAGCAGATGGATTTAAAGGTGATAAGAACCCGTGTATTTCTGCCAAATGAGTGCCACTGTTGTCTGGTGATTAGAGTTTGGGGATGAGGGGAGGGCTGCAAGTGTGGATTTCTGAGTTCTACGGTCATTTCTGGGAGTGGAGATCTGCCACAGGCATGCTATATGACCTTGGGCAAATCAATTTGGCCCTGTCTTCAGAGATGCTGAGCTCCAAAAACTCCAGCTCAACCTGTGAGTAGGGCTGCCAGGTGTCCATTTTTTTTACCGGAACGCCCAGTCGAAAAGGGACCATGGCGGCTCCAGTCAGCACCACTGAAAAGTCCAGTCAGTGGCGCAGAGGGGCTAAGGCAGGCTCCCTGCCTGCCCTGGTGCCGCGCGGCTCCCGGAAGTGGCCGGCATGTCCCTCCCACTCCTAGGCACAGGGACAGCCAGGAGGCTCCGAGCACCGGCTCCACAGCTCCCATGCGCTGGAAATCGCAGCCAATGGGAGCTGTGGGGGTGGCACCTGTGTACGGGGACAGTGTGCAGAGCCGCCTGGCTGTCCCTCCGCCTAGGAACCAGAGAGACATGCTAACCGCTTTCGGGAGCTGCCTGAAGTAAGTACCACCTGGAGCCCACACCCACTCCTGCGCCCCAACCCCGTGCCCCAGCTCTGAGCCCACTATCACACCCAAACTCCCTCCTGGAGCCTGCACTCCCTCCCATACCCCAACCCCTGGCCCCAACCAAGTGAAAAAGAGCAAGCAAGTGAGCGGGGGAGGAAGAGCGAGTGACCAAGGGAGGGGGGATGGAGTGAGCAGAAGTGGGGCCTCAGAGAAGGGCAGGGGTGGGGTCTCGGGGGAAGGGGAGGGCAACGATGTTTGGTTTTCTGCAATCAAAGTTGGCAACTCTATGAAATTCAGGCCCTTGCCTGCTCTGATTCCCAGTCTATAAAATGGGGACAATAACATTTGCCAACCTCACTCTGAGCAACTTGGATGAAAGTTGTTAATTATCATCATGAAGAGGGTGATCATCTGAAAAGACAGAAGAGGTGGCTGGAGCTGTGCAGCAGCCTGGGTTAACTGAATTGGTGATGGACTATATAGGTCAGTGTTGAAGGATGAGCATGACTGGGCCCGTTAGATCTGTGTCAGAGGCGATGTGCATTCGTTGTATCTGAAAATGCTCAGAGTTGGTAAGTTTTGTTTCCCCATGTCTGCAGTAATCTCTGTTTAAATAATAAATATACCATAATGAAATTAATGTGTGTGACATGCACTGTTTACACTACATAGCTCTTCTATGTTCAGCTTTCTGCTGGGTGCTAAGAATCAGATTCACCATGCTGCTAGCATTTTGTGCCAGGTTGGCCTTCCCCCTTATTTGTAACCTTTTACTATAACTTTGTGTTAATAAATTGGCAACATAAATAGTTTTTTAAAATATTAATTTAATAATTTTTTTCATTCACCCTAATCCTTCTGAACCTCCACAGCAGAACGGATGTTTTGTGGGAAACTGGTCATTCCACAGAGTGAAGGGACATACCACAAATTAAACAAAGCAAATGATAATTATTCAGACAACTTCAAAATATTATGGCTGCATTGAAGAAAACTCAGCTGTGTGCACTGCTGCCCTCTAATGTTTGAAATAGGTCAGAACTACTTGTGTAGATTCTTTATTCATTGTAACAAGAGCTGAATCTAAGGGCATGAGATGCAGGGGGTGATGTATTTTCATCATTGCCCCCTACTGTCTGGGCATATGTTAGTGCTGCTAGTGTGTATATCCTTCCATTCTGCTAGCTGGCTGAGTAGGGCTGCTCTTTTAGGGATAGTATAGGCTACCTTGTATGTCTTCTCTGCATCTGGGGTACTTGGAACAATCTGCTGAAAACTTTGTTTGAGCTATGTTTAACCCCTTTTGTGACTGCTGATTTGAAGAAAGAAATCATTTAGCCCAAGATTATCTGAGTTATAACCGTTCTCAGAGTGAGGACTAGTTGGTCCAAGTCCCTGAGGAATAGGATTCAGAATTTTTAATCTATGGACTACTGATTCCAATCTGGCCCAAGATGGAAATGACCAGAAGTCATTCTTGCCTGATGTGAAATAAGGTAGTGGGTCTCAGGCTCTTGGTTGAACAGGTGTCTAAATTACAAAACAAACCCACCACACAATCCACTGATTGCCTTCAGTCCCCTCGTAGCAGGCAATGCCATGCCCATTCTGCATCCAATCTGGGGCTAAAGAGAGAACTTCGGCCTCCAGAGACTGTGTGAAGTCACTCAAAACAACACATGGACACACAACTTGGAAAATGTTTTTAAAATGCTGGGGTTTTTTTAATTGTACACCTGCTAGAGGAACATCTGATTCATCCCCCACAAGAACCAAGACAATTAATGATGGAATCTTCAAGGTGTTTTCTTATGTTGCCAGCTGGGCTTTCTAATGAGAGGTTTTACACACTTTTGCCCACACCGTTCAATTGCACAGCACTTCAGGTTTCCTTTGCAGTCTGCATCTCCCCTACAGGGTGCAGCCAAGCAAGGATTCTGGCGACCCCGGCCCCTGCTTTCCTTCGAATCTGAGCCAGACTCATCAGATGAGTCATGATTTGGACGCCCACGTCGTGGGGGTCCCCTGTGCCGACCAGGTCCCCGTGTATTACCTCCATGGACACTAGGGCACAATCCAGGCTTCACTGTCACAGCAGAAAAACCTGTAGTAAAAGTGATCACAAGATGGATGAACATAATGGTCCCTTCTGGCCTTGGAATTTATGAAATGGAGAATGATACAAGTGCAGATGGCCTGGAACAATCCTATTTCAATAATAACCTATTTCTACTTCATCCCAAAGGATAACTATTACATTACTCGGTCTTCAGATTCACCATCTCCAACCCTTTGCAACAAAGCTCCCTTACCCACTCTGAACAGCTGTTCCCTCCCTACAAGACACTTGACCTCCCTTCCAGACCCTTACACTCATACACTGCCCTCCCCCCTGTAAAAATAGCTGCTGGCACATATCATGTGAAGGGGCTGTACCTTTTTCAACCCAGACCCATGTCATGCTACCAGGGCTACAAAATAAAGTTTGCTTTTTTACTAGTACTCCTATGCCTCAGAACTTTATTACATGATGAAAATGATTTAATGTTTGTCTTACTGTACTACCCAGAGGTCCCAAGTGAGATCAGGACCCCATTGTGCTACCAGGGGTCTGCAACCTTTCAGAAGTGGTGGGCCGAGTCTTCATTTATTCACTCTAAGGTTTTGCGTGCCAGTAATACATTTTAATGTTTTTAGAAGGTCTCTTTCTATAAGTCTATAATATATAACTAAACTATTGTTGTATGTAAACTAAATAAGGTTTCTAAAATGTTTAAGAAGTTTCATTTAAAATTAAATTAAAATACAGAGCCCCCTTGACTGGTGACCAGGACCCGGGCAGTGTGAGTGCCACTGAAAATCAGCTCGTGTGCCGCCTTTGGCATGCCTGCCATAGGTTGCCTACCCCTGTGCTAGACAGTGTACAAACACATAGCAAGGCAGTCCTTGTCACAATAGCTTGCAGTCAAGTTACAGAGAAAGGGATGAAACATAAGAGCACAGCAAATGAAGCCAGCTGAACCCCTCAGTCTTGGAGGAAGCCTGGCAGAAAACCGAAAGGGGAGGCGGCAGTGCTTCAAAAGTTCTTGGAAGCAATTTGCACTGCCCAGTAATTGGAGGGAAGAAACCTCCACATGCTACACTTGGCAGTTGCAGGAGCCTTGGAGACCTCAATACACTGCAAGGGGTTTGTAATGGGGATTGCAAACAGCTAGTCACAGCCATTCGGAAATATCTAGTATAATGTGGACTATGAAAGAGCGTCATTGGGAAGGGCATGCTTTCTTTACTAGAAATTAGCTGCCAAGTAAGACCATTGGTCATTAAATAACAGGCCTATGTAATAAAGCAAAGTCATGTACATTTGAACAATTAACAAATGGACTAATTAGAGATGGAATTATTTGTGATATAATGGATAATGAGAATAAAGTGAAGTTATTCTAAAAAATGGACATGACTTTGCAATGAACAGTGGTTATTTACAGGTCTAGAGAAAAATGTCCTCCCCAAATGAAAGTGTTGCCGAGAAGTCAGAGAACTGAAGGCATCTAATTCATAATACATAGCAAGACAATGTCAGGATACAAGGGCAAACAAAAGCAGTGAGGTGCATTAGCTTATAGAATACATTCTCACCATGGAAAGTGGCAGAAGCCTCAACCGTTTGAGTCATTTTCATGTGGGATGGAGAAATACCTAGAGAACTAGCTGTGGAGAAGTCATTTCCAAGATTTTCACTTCATCAGATATCTTCTCCTTGACCCAACTCCCCTCCCAGTATATCAGTCCCCTAGGCAACCACAGAAGAGCCTGCCTGGGCAACTGGTGGTCCCCTGGCCACTGTTTGAGAATCACCATTATAGGGAGCAATCCTGCTCCCTCTGAAGTCAGTGGGAGTTTTGCCATTGACTTCAAAGGGTACAGGAGAAGGCCTCTAAGGTAGAGTGCTGCAGTAGCTGAAGCAAGGAGGAAAAGATGTGGTCTCTCCCCACACCTAATGCCTATGATATTAGGCTGTTCCTTTGAAGCTGCAAAAGTAGTTTTTAGAGACAAGGAAAATAAAGCAAACAATGACAACAGTACATTTAAAGTAAAAAGGACTCACCTGTCAGTGCTATGGTGACTTGCTCAGAGAAAAGGTTACTGGCACCTAAGGAAACCAAGCATAAGTAATAAGAAGAAAGCCCTCTGATAACATCTGGTTTCAGTGAACTCACTCTAGCTGGTTGTGACACTGAGGAATATTGGGCTGTGGAATAGACACCCGTGGGGAGTTGTGGAAGGTCCAGCATTTGAGACATTTTAAAGTAGAGTGGACAAAGCCCCGTAGGCAACAATCCTACACCAGAAGGCTGGGTAGAAGGAAAATGGGACCTAATAGGTAGGTATACTGGAAACAGTGAGGAATTTTTGCAAAATCACTGCAAGCCTCTCCTGAAACCTGTGGGATTTCTTCTCTAATAGAAAGTCTAGTAAATGCCTTTTTTTTCCCTGTAGAAAACATTGGGTCGCCAGCAATCCATGTGTAAAACTGAACCTCCAGATGAGCACAAAATCCAGGTGCATGGATTCCCAGGCCCCCTGGTTGTAGGACTTTTCATTTGCTTCAAGTTCTATGATGTTAGGCTGTTCCTCAAAGGTGCAAGAAAATGGCTGTTTGTGGTGAAAAGGTAAATAAATTGCAGAATGAAAGAGTAAATTTTAAGGAGAAACTCAAGTTATAGGGGACTCACCAGTGGGAGTGGCTAAAATATCATCAGGGATAGCGGATAGCTCTATGGAATCAAGCAGAAAACATTAAATTAACCTCGGTGGTTTTATGGAATCTATGCCCTTTTAGGGTTGAATTCATGTGAGATCCCTCAAGCTCAACAGGGACAAGCCTGGTCAGTGTTTAGATCACAGACCTCCAAGAAGAATCCACGGTTCTTCAGGAAGTTATGCTAATGATGCAATTAGAAGATGCTCTTTTTTCTGAGTCAGTATTGAACAGAACAGATCATGCAATGATTTTTTTTCCTGATAAATATTTAAATTATTTTTTTTCATTCTTGTTGAATTTTTTCCAGGAACACTGCCCCACCTCCGAAAATGGATTCCCCCTCCCCCAGACTTTGAAGAAAAGTGATTTTTTTCCACACACAAAATCTATTTTTTTTAAAAGCCATTTTCCATCTAAAGGGAAAAAAATCAAGGGAATATTTTTCAAGCTATGTTTACTGTATGGAATGCTGTGCTGCAGGGATTGCTGTGGGTGACTAAGCAGCATGAACTCTTCCATTCCGCTACACACGACAGATGGTCATCATGTTCCTCAGTGCACACCTGGTCTCTCACTTTCCCAGGTCAGCAGGGCTAGGAGCGCTGCAGTATCAATGTGATCAGGTCTTGCTTTGGAGGAAGCTTATCATGTTGCTCTCAAGCAAACCCAAAAGCAGAGCAACCCAGGTTAAGGGATTAACTCCAAAGTACTCCAGCTTTCCAGCAGGGGAAGATTCTGGGGGTGAGGTTGGGCGATGTGTATGGGAGTTTTGCCAGTGGGGACTCATGGGAGTGTTTTGGAAGCTGTGCATGTTGAGATGGGCCAGCAGTGTTTGAGCAGATGAAAGGCTTGTCTTACGATGTAGAACGGTTTGGAAACCAGCCAAGTGGTTCCAATTGGTGGCACTTTGCCAGAGTGGGTGCCACCTTTCCTTTCCTTCCAAACGCCTCACTACACCCATAGTGGTTTTCTAGCCACCTCTCTTCATCTCCAGAATCCGCTCAGTCTGAGGCACTAAGGGCCTAGCTGCCTCAATGTGCAACACCAGGAGGTTTGCAGCATTGGGGCCTAACACAAAGACATCTGAGACCTGAACTGTTGTGGAGGAGGTAGGGCATGGTAGCAGGAACAGGCAGGAGGTGGGGGTAGAGAGAAGGTGGTCAGGCAGGCAGCTAGATGTTTATGTTGAAACTGGGACAAAACCTCGGGTTGCCAATTTTGGTTGGATATGTTCCTGGAGGTTTCATCACATGACATAATCATAGAATCATAGAATATCAGGGTTGGAAGGGACCTCAGGAGGTCAGGAGATTAACCTTTAATTCCTGGAGACTCCAGGACAATCCTGGAGGATTGGCAACCCTAACAAAACCTGTGTTTCAACATAATTTCTCATGACACAGGCACATCCCCTGAACCATCTTGTTCAACTGGAATGTTGGTCACCCTGCTCTGGTGCAGTGCGGGGAGAGGAATCCAGTGCTGAGGGAGGACAATAAAATCTTACAGGATAGTCAGTTATTCCAATCTTTAAAGCAAGCAGACTGACATCTTTTCAAATGGGTGGAACATCCACACTGGATAAGCACATTATTTGGCTGTTTCAGAGATGAACGTGAGCAGGGAAATAAATAACAATGCTTAAAATTGCTATCACTATGCATCAGTCAAAACCCCAGAGAGGGAAAGAGAACTGTTCATGCCTCACTTGCACTGTTGCTGGTTTCTCTGCAGGCTGAAGCAGACAGTACTTCCTTGATTCATAGTCAGAAGATTTCTTCTCAAATAGAAAGTCTAGCAAATACCATTGGGGGGGGGGAGGGTTAAATTCTGTAGAAAACACAGGGTCACCATAAATCCGTGTGTAAAACTGAACCTGCAGATGAGTGGAAAACCCAGGTGTATGAATTCTCAGGGCCCTTGATTGTATAGCTTTCCTCAGCTTCACGCTCTATAATTTTAGGCTGTTCCTCATAGGTGCAAGAAAATGGCTTTTTATGGTGACAAGGTAAGTAAGTTGCACAATGAGAACAGTAAATTTCAAGGAGACATTCAAGTAATGGGGGACTCACCAGTGGGTGTTGCTGAAGTGTCATCAAGGATAGCAGATAGCTCTAGGGAATCAAGCAGAACACATTAAATTAATGGCAGATAGTTTTATGTAATCTAAGCCCTTTTAGGGTTGAGCTCAAGTAAGATCCCGCAAGCTCAGCAGGGACAGTATTTGTGTATGAGACCTTCAAGAAGAATCCAGGGTTCTTCAGAAAGTGGTGCTAATGACTCATCTAGGGGGTTCTTTTTCTTCTGAGTCAGTATTGATCATGGAATGATTTTTTTCCTGAGAAATATTTAAATTATTATTTTTTAAATTTTGCTGGATTTTTTTTTTTTAGTTTGTGCCAGGAACATATGCCTTCCCCCCTCTCCCTGCCGCAAAAAAAACACAAATTTTTTCCAGATTTTGAAGAATTTTTTTTTCCATTTTATTGAAAAATCATGTTCCATTAAAAAATGAAATGTCAAGGGAATATTCTGAAGCTGCTCTTGTACTGAGGGGAATCCTCCAACCGAGTGCTGTGCTGCAGGGAATGCTGTGGGTGACTAAGCAGAGCGCATTTTTCCATTCTTTTACACATGAGAGATGGTCTTGTATTGCTCAATGCACTGCTAGAAGGCACTCAGATACTATGATGATGACCATGGTATAAGAACCCATGGAGAATAGAAGACAGAACACTTTGTTCACTACAGACACTGTGACCCTACAGAATGCTGCACTACAGAAGACATCATCTTGGATGAGATACATAACCAAGGCTCTGACCAGTTTTATTATTCAGGATCCCAGGCAGGGCCAGCTCCAAGCACCTGCTTAACAAGCAGGTGCTTGGGGCAGCCAAGGGAGAGGGGCGGCACCTGCGGCAATTCGAGGTCGGCAGGTCCCTCACTCCCTCTAGAAGCGAAGGACCTGCTGCTGAACTGCCGCCGTTCTTTTTTTTTTTTTTTTTTTGCTTGGGGTGGCAGAAATGCTGGAGCCCGCCCCTGATCCCAGGATAGTTTTTGTTGAAGCAGATTTGTTAATCCTGGCCTAACTCCAATGTGAATAACTGCATTCTGCCTGTCAACTGGATATAGGCTCCTTCAAGTCCTGCCCTAAGGCTGGGTCCTGTTTAGCAGTTGCCAGGATCCGCAGCTCAAGGGTGATCCCTCTTTATATGAAGCATAATCTGTGCTTTCAGACATTTCAGTATGAAATGTTGTCTATTGAGATAAGCTAATAAAGTGGAACTCACCACGTGGATCTGCCGTTGTTTCCACAGCATCCAAAGACTGGATACCTAGGGAAAAAGAGCATGGGAGCTGAGAAAAATAACCCTGTGATAAATGCAGGAATGAGGTTTCACTGGACTGTGTCAAAATAGTTGTGTGCAGTGTTGTTGTAGCCATGTTGGTCCTAGGATTTTAGAGAGACAATATCTTTTATTGGATCAACTTCTGTTGGAGAGAGAAAAGCTTTTGAGCTCCACAGAGCTCTTTTGAAGATATTACCTCACCCACCTTGTCCCTCTATTTCAAACTAGTTTTAACAGTGATGTGCACAAGACAGTGGGAGAGTATCCTGAGAGAAGCTAGCAAAGTCCCAGTATCTTTGCTGCCCTTTTCTCATTCCTCATTCTTTCCTGCCATCTTCTGGCCATTACAAAACATAGCCACTATTTTCCTGCCTCTAACAGCATGTGTGTGTATTCAGCTTGTATAAAAGCTACATAGGTTTTCATAAACCTTTAACCCCCCACCTCCCATACTATGTAATGCTTTCTCTATTTTTGGTTTTGTTTTATTGGTACCCCTTAGAGCACTGACACATCACGCTAAATCACTAAAAATGAGGTTTTCCATCCTCAGCCCCCTTGCAAATACTCCAGTGCTCTGTCAAATGCTGATCTTACCTCTTTCTGGACATGCTCACAGCCACCCACCTGCTTTCTGATACACTCCACACTGGATACCTTCCTGACTGGTACTTCCTACACAACCCACCTCCACAGTCCCTGTTGAGAGTTCCCAATTCAAAAATCAAATTAGGAACAGCAGCAAATTGCCAAATTGCTTGGGAGCTCACATCCAGAGATCAAATCAAGAGCAGCAGCTGGGAGGTAGGTTGTCTAGGGAGGTTGGGAGGGCTTCCAAAATCAAAACAAGAGCTTAAATTGTTCCTCTCCACTCCGGCTGCTCAATACTGCAGTCCATCACAGATCCTTGGCCTAGAGTCCCCCACCTGACTCTCTTCCCACACCCTTACAATGGCCAGTTCTCAGGTATCACTGAATGTAAAATAATGCAGAAGACAGAGAAAAGAATGCAGGGCAGGAAAAAATCCAACCCATAAGGGCACAGGAGATATAGATGCTGGCTTTCTATGTATCATGACTCTACAGACAGAGGTTTCCTAAAAGATTTAAATAATTCTTCTTGGAGTTTATTTCCTTTACTAGGATCTGCCTAGTCTTCTACCTTATCTCTGCCAATATTCAATATTTAATGCTTGAGAGGAAAGTAAATTTCCACCCACACCATATATCTATAGCCCTTTGTGCAGTGCCACACATGTCAGGGTGGGGTCTGGGCTTGGATTTCGTTCTGATCCCTGTATGTGATCAGTATATATTCAGAACCATGAGATCTGACTTCTCATAACTTAAAATCACAAATCACACCAAAGTCAGGCGAGGTCAGAAAAACTGAGTTGCTGCAGTGATTCAGTAAAAGGGGCTCTTTTCCCTACTGACCCCTAAGCCCCAGTGTGGTGCTAGGAGTTGCTGTGCTGAAGAGAGTGGTGTGAGTGACTGAAATAAAGGCTACTCCTCCCTCTGAGCCAGTACTGAACCAATACTAAAGTGACGCCATAATGATTCCATGATTCTATGTTTTCAGATGAGATGTAAAGCTCAGGACTTATCCCAATGTGGTCATATAGAATTCAATAGCAATATTCTCAAGAGTAGGGTGTCCT